AGGTACAGTTGCGATCAAAAAAAAGTAAAGTGTTTTTTTTTAAAGATAAAAGTCGAAGTCATAGGTCAAAGTGACATTATGTTGGCAATACAATGTAAAATTGTCAATGCTTTCAAATTTTTTATGTAGAAAAGGCTTGTGCTGCCAACATAGTTACTAAATTTTTGACTTGGAGAATTATCTTTAAAAAAAAAACAGCCTTTCGTACAAAAATTATTAACCGCAATTTGAGCTCCCGGTGTAACATACAAAATTTTGACAGGCAATCTAGGTTAAAAACGGGTGGAAAAATTTCAAAGTAATGTCATCTGAAGCTTTCTAGGTTAAAAACTTGTCGAAAAATTCCAAAAATATGTCATTTTTGGTTATGAATTAAATTAACGTATAATAGGCCAGGAAATTTTGGAGATTTTTCTTGTACTACTTTTTTTTGATCGCAACTGTACCTATACTTGTTAACAAAAATTATTTCATTAAATTTTTTTTTGTCGTATTTAGATTTTACCGGTCTATTGAGGGAACTGGGGGGTTGAATGTGGTGTCAAATTGTAGAGTGGAGTCTGTTCTTTCAAATAAATCTCGAAATTTGGTGAAACAAAATTGTCTTCGATTTTTTAGAATTTTTTTTTTGTCGTGTTTCTGATTTTACCGGTCTATTGAGGGGAGTGGGGGGTCGAATGGGGTGTCAAACTGTAGAGTGGAGTCTGTTCTTTCAAATAAATCTCGAAATTTCGTGAAACAAAATTGTCTTCGATTTTTTAGATTTTTTTTTTGTCGTATTTCTGATTTTACCAGTCTATTGAGGGGACTGGTGGGTCAAATGGGGTGTCAAATTGTAGAGTGGAGTCTGTTCTTTCAAATAAATCTCGAAATTTGGTGAAACAAAATTGTCTTCGATTTTTTAGAATTTCTTTTTTGTCGTGTTTCTGATTTTACAGGTCTATTGAGGGGAGTGGGGGGTCGAATGGGGTGTCAAACTGTAGAGTGGAGTCTGTTCTTTCAAATAAATCTCGAAATTTCGTGAAACAAAATTGTCTTCGATTTTTTAGAATTTTTTTTTTTCGTATTTCTGATTCTACCAGTCTATTGAGGGGACTGGTGGGTCAAATGGGGTGTCAAATTGTGGAGTGGAGTCTGTTCTTTCAATTAAATCTCGAAATTTGGTGAAACAAAATTGTCTTCGATTTTTTAGAATGTTTTTTTGTCGTATTTCTGATTTTACTGGTCTATTGAGGGAACTGGGAGGTCAAATGGGGTGTCAAATTGTGAAGTGGAGTCTGTTCTTTCAAATAAATCTCGAAATTTGGTGAAAAAAAATTGTCTTCGATTTTTTTAGAATTTTTTTTTGTCGTAGTTTTGATTTTACCGGTCTATTGAGGGGTCTGGGGGTCGAATGGGGTGTCAAATTGTAGAGTGGAGTCTGTTCTTTCAAATAAATCTCGAAATTTCGTGAAACAAAATTGTCTTCGATTTTTTACAATTTTTTTTTGTCTATTGAGGGGACTGGGGGGTCGAATGCGGTGTTAAATTGTGGTGTGGGGTCTGTTCTTTAAAATCAGCTTCGAAATTCGGTGAAACAAAATTGTCCTGAATTTTTTACATATTATTTTTGTTTTAGTTTGTTGTTATTTTACAGGACTATTAGTTGTTATTTTACTGGAATATATTTATTTGTTCATTTTAATTGAAAATACATTCAGATTGTATAATTTTGCATTTTGAATTAATTTAATTTATTCAAATTGTTGACCTCCGCCCATGGTCGTTCGGCAATCATCGGCACTTTGGCAGCTAACTATTTGTCAGCTAACTTCACACCGCTGGAGGTGTATTACTATTTTCGTCGTCGCTACCCATACTTTTTCTTTTGATATTGTTTAAATTAATGAATTATTTATCTAGTATTTTTAGGAAATTTGTTTTTGTTTGTTTTCTGAGAATTTAATTTTAGGTTAAGTTAGAAAATAGAAAACTTACTTGGGATTCTTGCGAGTTGCAGTGGCGCTTGACAATGGCGGCAATGGCCAGCGGCCAGCCAGGCGCCAGAATTCCAAATACGATGTTGCCGGTTGTTTGATATAAAATTTTTCACAACAAAATCCTGAAATTCACTTCAAAACACCCGAAAATAGGAAAAAAGTCTAAACCAACATTATAATTTGCTGATGGAATAAAATATAATTATGTCATTATGAAGGAAGTTCGTATAGATTCGATAGAATAACAGCTAATAAGCTAATAAAAGTTCTCATTCAAAATTTCTTGGCAATAAATCAAAAATCTCCATCAAAATCAGAAATTTCCTACTTATTGGCATTATTTATTGTATCAATGTTTTTGTAGGTTGCCAAATTACAAGCGACCTAGAACTCTGAAATCATATACTATGAGAGCCCGTTAAAGGGGTGTGACCCTAAAAAACGACTTAAGCTACTTAAATCAAGAAAAAAATTCTAAGATCTCTCGTGAAAACCGCAGTCCTATATTCAAAATAGTCTCCGAGAAAATTCCTTGTGAAGATAAATTATGCAGGAAGTTGTGATGTCACAACCGCCGAAATCGCAGTCTTCTGATCGTGTAGTTCATAGTGAACCGTACCCCATACTTTGAGTGGTTGCAATTCGCTCTAGGAGAAAATTGTCTTTTATTTTGGAAAATTCTTACATGTGTTAATACTCTCCCTGATAATCCAGTGTGACGTCACAAAAACCTAGTTGTAACTTTAGACCGCCCTAACTCGAAAACGGACCATCGTAGCAAGATGCGGTTTAAATATTTATTCTTAGATTTTTTTTGCACTAAAACTTTCATTTTTGGGTCACTCCCCCTTTAAGGGCCTCTTAAGGCCCCCTAACACTACGAATTTCTTTCTCGTCGGTTTTCATCGTCGCGATTAACAACATCGTGTTTCATCGTCAGCCTGTTTTCACCACACACTACGCGATTTTTTGGCAGTTGGACCCACATACAACGGTTTTGGAACGGAATGTTGAACCGTCGTGCCAAAAATCAAGCTCGAACTGAACTTTAAACCCACGATGAAACACGACAGTTCGTTCCAAAACCGTTGTATGTGGGTCCAACTGCCAAAAAATCGCGTAGTGTGTGGTGAAAACAGGCTGACGATGAAACACGACGTTGATAATAGCGACGATGAGAACCGACGAAAAAGAACCTAGTGTGTGAGGCCCATTAAGAAGGCCGTTTTTTGGTGCGAATAAATAATATAAACTGTGATAATATGGACCTACTGAGGCCTGAACAGGAATGGTTGGCGGGCCTTCCACCTCTCTTCACCATGTCCACCGCATTTTAAGTAAGGTTCGCAAGGTAAGAGGTAAGGTCCCACCCCACAAGTCAGAAGAACGAAAAAAAGTGGAAATTATACATTTCCACTTCACTTCCTCGTCCTTTCTGCGCTGGGTTGGCAGCCGGTTGGCGCTTTAGCTCCATTGTTTATTTAAACATATGTTTTTGCGAAATTGAAGTTGATTTTTCCCTCGCTATAATTTAGAGACATAGTGAGGGTTTTTACAACTAGCGGCAGCTACCCGTCCCCGTCTTTATGTCTTACATCCAGTTTTTTGTCACAAGAAATATGGCCCCCCTTCATAGAAAGGACCTCGCAATTTGGATGTCGCCGACGTCCAAGAATGGTTTGGCTACGCCACTGGTCTTTTTCATTGTAATGGGGTGTTATTGATGGTGACATTGTTGGTAACATAGGTGAGAAATTGTTAATTTTTCGGTTGAAGACCAATTCAAATGGAGATTTCTCAGTCGTTGAATGTGGCGTGCTTCTATAATCGATGAGAAATTCGTTTATTTTGTGGTCAAACTCATCTAGTTCCAAATGTGAGCAAAGAAAATATTTTTTAACTGAGAAAGAAAAATTAAAAAAAAAAAACAAATGATAGACTTTTAATTTTTTTATGCAATTTCGATCCATTCTCCCTATCCCTGAGGATCCCATATGCGCCAATTTTACCAGATTATGTACAGGGTGCTGCAATTTGGAGTGTTTTAACAGGAAAAACACACTTCCAGACCAGATAGAGGAAAATTGACTTAGATGTCATGGGATCGATTTTCGAGAAACGTCGATTGTCATATACAGTATCGCGATATCTTCAATGGTACCATTAATACAGGGCGATTTTCGATTTTCCCCTATTATGAAAAATGGCTATAAGTTTTTTATTTATCAATTTTTTTCATTTCTGTAAAAACATTATGGAGAGACTTTTTTGAGCACAATCCAGTGGCGGACTCGGTTTTTTTCTATATCGCTCCGATTTCGAGATATCGACCAAATTCCGATATTTTCAAATGGAACATGCTTTATATTAATAGCTCATTGGATAGCTCTGTTCTTGCTGATTTCAATGATATAAAGTTCGATAGGTTTATCTCTAACAGTTTTCCAGAAAAAAAAATTATATCTGTCATAAGAAACAATGTGTTAGAAAGAGACCTTTCTCACTTTCCTTACACATATAAAATCCTTTTCTAACACATTGGTCCTTACGACAAAAACAAATATAATTTTTTTTCTCGAAAACTATTAGAGATAAACCTATCGAACTTTATATCATTAAAATCAGCAAAAACAGAGCTATCCAATGACCTATTAATATATAGGGAGTTTCATTTGAAAATATCGGAATTTGGTCGATATCTCGAAATCGGAGCGATATCGAAAAAAATCGAGTCCGCCACTGGATTGTGCTCCAAAAAGTGTCTCCAAAATGTTTTTACAGAAATGAAAAAAATTGATAAATAAAAAACTTATAGCCATTTTTCATAATAGGGGAAAATCAAAAATCGCCCTGTATTAATGGTACCATTGAAGATATCGCGATACGGTTTTTGACAATCGAGGTTTCTCGAAAATCGATCCCATGACATCTAAGTCAATTTTCCACTATCTGATCTGGAAGTACGTTTTTCCTGTTGAAACACTCCAAATTCCAGCACCCTGTACAATTTTTTCAATTTAGGGAAGGCGTAAATTTGGCGTTATCAATCGCAAATCCAACTACCTAAAATTCCTTGGACAATACTTCCCTGAATCTGAATAAGGGATTGCTGAAAGCAATTACGATTGGGATTGGGAACTAAAACAATGCCGATAAATCCAGACCAAAGCACTTTCTGAAAGATTTTGCATAATGAAAAAAAAAAAAAAATCGCCTAAACCGTTTAATCAGTAGGTACTTCCCAAAAACTATCACAAATAAAAACAGTAACTTATTAATAACTCAGATAATAAATAAATTAATATACATAATCAAATACATCAATCACAATATAATTCTTCGACTATCTCACTGCACATTTCACACTTTACGGAACAGCACCATTGAAATACGCAATTACACCTTTTCCTAACCACCATCTTTTCTCTTCGTACTTTATACCCGCATTGTCTACAAAGGTTCCGGCAGCTTCTCTTTTCCGAGGCGGTTGTACGGTTTGATTTGGTCCTGGAACAAAATCTGCCTTTTGTACCTGGCCAGTCTAGAACAAAATTTAAGTTAAATGTAACTGTTGTAAATGCATTTTTTGAAAATGTCCTAGGAAACTGTTCAAAAGTTCGATAGGATTCAACTAATCAAAGAATTTGAAATTTGAGCAAGTTAAAAGTTGAAATGGTAATTATCAAATTAGGCACTTACTTTGGGTTTGGTCAGGAAGGCAATAATCAAGACTTTGTTCCAAAAATACCAATGAATCTTCTGGTGCCAGAAAGTTACTGGTCCTGTCTTCTCTTTTCACTGAATTGCCCAAAGCTATTGTAGCTTCAATGTTTTCGCTGATAAGTCGTCTTGCTTTTCTATATTTTTCTTTTAATTTTTTAGATATTATATGGAAAGGAGGCAACTGCATCCAGCAGGTTTGTAGTGAGCAACTTCCGGAAACTCCGTGACAGCGACATTTCTTAATCATTGCTTGTTGGACAATCTAAATACATATTACAAAATTAATTTCGAATTTAATTAAAAAATATAATATATTAGCTTATTTTAAACCCAAACTAACCTGTTTCCCTAGACGATAATTATGTTTTTCAATGTAAGAAAGAACTGTAGCATTTTCTTTCGAATTTTCTAGCAAATCGCGTACTAATCTTAATCCATAAGTACTGTCGTCTGAACATCCTCCCCAAGACCATTTTACGGTTTTGTCTTTTACATTTGTATTTAGTTCAATTTGTTTGCTTGATGACGGCGGATCCACTTTTTGAGAATTTGTTGTCCCCCCAAAGTTTGAGTTGCATCCACAATCGCTAATTTCTCCTAGAAAGTTTTGTTAGTTATAATTTTGGTACTGATTACTGATGAGTGATGACAATCTACAGTATGTAAGTGAAACTTGTTTTATAACAAATAGTCAGTTTTGAATTGTACAAATATCATATCCCGTGTGCAACTTAGTGAAGCAATATCATGCGATACCTTAAAATTTTCAGGAAAATGTGTAGATAACAAATTTTAATGGAGCGTATCTCGCAATGGCGGCAGAAGGGTGAGAACCATCCTTATGCAGTAGGGTAATACTGCGTATATTATGCAAAAACATATTTCCTTAATTATAATTGGATTTCATAGTATTCACCACTTTTGTTTCAGGTAACGTCGATGAGATCTTTAAAAATATTACGAAAGCATCCCCTGATCGGGAGATGATTTCATAACACAGCTTCATAAGCATCAGTGAATTAACTGTAACAACAATACTCAAGCAACATGTAAATATTGTAATGTGATAATATTATGAAATTATGGCCGCCCAGGCGTCTGAAACACACCTCCGAGTATCCGTATTATTTACCATTTTTATTTAGGCAAAAGTGTTATTTATGAAGTGACACTTCTTAGGCGGTGGTCTGATATTTGGACGAGAATGGAGAGTAATTTGGAAGACGCGTCACGTTCAGGTCCATTTCGTTCGAGCTTTATCTAGAACACAATACACGTATACACTCAATACAAAGCGATAGAAGTTTCAGTTCTACTAAGTGTACAGCGCTGCACATGATTTTTTGTATTTCAGAGTACGTCAAAGGTCAAAAGAGTTAAAAATTGAAGCTATTAGGAAACTAAGTGTTAAAAAACCTTAGTAGTGATAAGTGTTGCTTGTGTACTCTAAAAAATTCGTGAAAGCTCCAGCGCAGATTGCTTATGACACCCTTGCTGAAACTCTGGTGAAAATCAACAAATGGGATCCGAAACAGGAGCAAGATTTCCCGATACTTGCTTTAACAGCAGACCAGTTTACATCGGATAAAATAAAAGACATGAAAGTGAAATGGCACCTTGAATGTTACAAAAGAATTTAAAAAAAAAGATTTTTTTGAACGAATGAAGAAAAAGTACAGGGTGTCCGAAAAGGTTTTCACGATTTCTTTGTTATATTTCTCGAGAAGCGTTAGGAGTGGGGGAATCCGAGCAGATGCAATGCTGAGCGTGCATCTTGAAATTTCAGTAACCATGGAGCGATCCACAGGGCCGCAGCTGGCTTACTTTGTGAAAGCATTTCATGAGAACAATCATTCTTACATCCAAACTCGTCGCCTTTTTCGAGCACATTTCAATTTACACGGCATTAATCAAGCTCCGACACGTCCTTTATTTGGACACTGGGTTAGTAAATTTGAAGCAGAAGGCACAACAGTGAATAACCATATTGGCCGACCCAGAGCTGGTAGAAGTGTGGAAAATATCGGGCGTGTTCGAGAAGCAGTTAGGCGAACGCCTCGCCGTTCAATCAGCAAACAAGCAGCCGCATTGTATTTATCAAAATTTCGAAATTTCCGTGGATTCAATCAAAACACTTGGTTTCAGCATGACGGAGCGACTGCTCACACTGCAAATCTTTCCATGGGGATCCTTCGAAGGATGTTTCCAGGAAAGCTCATATCGAAGAATGGTAACGTCAATTACCTCGCCAGAAGTCCTGATATAACTCGCATGGATTTTTTTTTGTGGGGTTTCCTTAAATCATACGTTCAAATTCCTGCAAATTTGGATCAGTTGAAGCAAAGAATTTGCGTCGAAATTCGAGCAATTCCATAAGAACTCTACAACCACATGTTTACCAACTTCAGAGGTCGTTTGGAGGAGACGATCCACATGGAAGGGCAGCACCTCGACGGCATAATTTTTCATAAATAAAATTTCCACAGTTTGTAGTTTATTTTTATTTATTAATTTCTAAAATAAATCTCAAACTTGATAAGTTATAATTTTTACAAATCGTAAAAACCTTTTCGGACACCCTGTATAATGCCTAGCAATTAGAAGCTTCAACTAAGTTTCTCGGGTGCCGATATCATAGGAAGTTTCAAACGAAAAGGTAAAATTAGTTTTTGGAAGAAGTTTTTGGAAGCAACTCCATCCATGCTTCAGGCGTTGGAATCTTTGGGCAAAAGTGAAACGTTAAGTGACTCTGATATGGAGCAGATTGAGTTATTTATTTGTTCAACATATTCACCGTCCAAGAAAAGTGTGAAAAGCCTAGCAGAATTGAGATGGTGATTGTTCTCGCAGAGGCAAGAGGCAAGTTTCGACCAAAAATATGCCGCCCACTCGAGTAGCCTTCAAAATGACACTAAGATAGATGCCACTCAGTGCATTGAATGGAATCGGGAGCTTCCAAACCCCAATTTACCACCTCTCACAAATTACGTTTGGAAATTTGGCACTGATTGGAATTAGAACCAATTAGGTGTAGTCTTCCCTGCTCACCTGAAGGAATAATTAATCTGATAAAAAAAATAATTGTTCTCAAAGATTCAAATGTTCAGCACAAAATATATTTTGCACAGAAATGTGTAAATGTGAAGCTGATCCAGAATGTTGTTCAAATACTAAAGCAGATGGAAAAACAACCTATGGCACTGATTCTGACTATGCTCGATATAGCAAATTTGATGACGAATAATTTAATTTTTTTTACGTTTTTCAGTAAGGATGTCTCCCATAAACGGTAAACGGTAGTAGATACGACAATGGTTGAATGAGACAAAAGTTGCGGAATTTAACGCTTAATAAAATGGTACTTTGGCATTTGAAAAATTCCGAACATTTTCGGAGATATCCGGAAAAAACCGAAATTTTGGTAAATTGACTTTATTTTTTCCTGAGCTTATTTGAGGAGAGATTTCAAAATAAATGTCACTTTATTTCATTTCATGTTACCACTTTTACCACTCTACAAGATGACATTATCAATTTTGAGATTTGACGTTTTGTCTTTGGGCTACCATCAACTTTATTGTTTTAAATACGACCCTGGATTTTTTATTTCAGATTTAAATAGCTTCTGATATCCCAAAACCCATGACATATTGCATTTATTCAAAAAAAATATTTTCTTTTTTTTTTACTTTTTAGTAATTTCCTACAAAAATTCTCTCTCTAACACATTAAGTTCTTATGGAAGAAAGCGCCAATAATATAAATGTAAATAAGTGCAATACGTCATTGGTTTTGGGGTATCAGAAACTTATAAAATCTAAAATGGAAAATAAGGGTCCGCATTCAAAAAAATTAAGTTGATGATGGTGGTTCAAAGACGAAACGTCAAATTTCAAAATTGTTAATATCATCTTGTAGAGTAGGAGAAGTAATAACAATGAAGTGACGTTTATTTTGAAATATCTCCTCAAATAAGCTCAGGAAAAAATAAAATAGATTTTGCAAAATTTCGGTTTTTCCGGATATCTCGGAAAATGTTTAGAAATTTTCCATATGTCAAAGTACCATTTTATTGAGCATTAAATTGCGCAACATTTTTCCCATTAAACCATTGCCGTATCTGATACCGTTTATGAGATCCCCATGATAGGCATCCTTACCTTGAACACCCTGTATATATAAATACCAAAATAGGCTGTTATTTATTATTTTTTGAATTTAGATGGAACACATAAAATCATAATATGTTTTTCTTTTCAACAATATATTCTACTATCTTGTTTTAGCTAAAATATTTTTTTTTACGAAGGGGTGGTTGAGGGGTATTTTTTCCCTTCTGCCACCCCTACAGGTCACGCCCCAACGATATTCGTAATCTACATATTTTTCCGAAAATTTTGATGTATAGCACTATATTGCTTCACAAAGTTGCATACGGATTACTAATTTAAAACTGACTAAAATAAGTAAGTTGTAAAAAACTTAGACAACTTGTTATATACAAAATAAATACCCACCCATGATTTTAAAAATGATTTAATATTCTAAAATTTGTTATTTTACGCATTACATTGACGCTGTTTAAAAGAACATTAGGTACCTACATAAAAACTTATACAAAAAAATTTTCTTCGATTGACAAAAAATGTCAGCATTTTTGACTGGTTGACAGGTCGCAAGACCCAATATTCTGGTATTTTAATTATGTTTCAATAGTTGCTAAGGAATCAATGAATAACAATACGGGAATCACTTTTCCGGCCTAGGCACATTCTCGGCCTTAGGTGTTTGCCGGTCTCGGCTACGCCTCGCCCGTCAACTTACACTGTCGGCCAAGAATGTGTCACTTTTCCACCTAAATACACAATATACTATTGTTTTTTAACGATGTGTTTTTTTTTGTTACATTATACCGTAATCTGGATGCATCTAGGACCTCTAGGATACAAGTTTTGGTATATTTAAACCATTTTTGGTTTATGTTTTTGGGAGAAACTGGCCAATCGTGATACTCATAGGATAAAATAGCTTACATTAGGTATACATATCCCACGATCCAACCCAAAAAAAAACTAGGTTTTTCACACACCTATCTTTGAGAAAGTACATTCACGTTTCAAATAGGAGGATGATTCTAGCATACGGGGTGTTGCAAATTCGAGATTCTGAATCTGGATTTTTTATTTAGTTCTTTGTTAGTTTTTGACTTCCTAAGTAGAATGTTTTATCAAAACAATCGATAAAATGAACATTTAAATCAAAAACTTATGTTAATTTGTATGGACATACTCATCTTTGTCAAACACATTTATAAATATGTGCTAGATTGAGTTTGATAGTTCAAATACTTTTTGAGTAATTGAGCCTCAAAGTTGAGTTTTAGTCGAAATTTAGTCAAAAACCTCAAACTCAATTTTCTCAAAAGCTTTAAACCTGAAAATTTTTTCCAATAAGAGAAAATTTAATTTTTTATTTCTGAATTTTTTTTTAATCATGACAAGGTTAAAAAAACTCCAATATTTCCATTGAAATTTGAGCAAATCAAAATAAATTAAACACTATTAGAAAGAGCATTAAATTTTTCATAAATTTGTGCT